ATCATTGTGTGTAAACTATTAAAATATAATTATACTTTATTTGATCTAATCCACAATGCTCAAACTTTTTACTGATATTAATTCAACTGACGGTCTTCCCATTAAAAGACTGGCCAACAAACTCACACATTTATATCAAGCTGAATCTCGATTTATGAACCATCGAATTTTCAACATCAGATGCCTTAAAAATGGAATTATTCCTGTATACATGAAATTAAAATCACCAATATCTACTGATAAAGCAAATGCAGCGCTCACACATGCCTCAAAAGTATGCATCAAAGAAAACCTACGTGGAATTATACAAAAGCTATTCACGATAAGGAAAGATATTAATGAAATAAAAAAAAAATTGAAAGAAGTAATCGAAAAAGAAAAGTATGAAAGCATACTACAAGTTGCACATAAACGAAAAGAAACTACTTATGAAAAAACAAAGCAGAAACAAATCAAAAAATTTAATAAACTCATGATAGCGAAAACTCCGAATGACAGACAAGTAACTAAAGCCAGTTGGATTGTAAACTTGTCAGACAGAAAGTTAACAGAAGCAGAGGAAAGTGTATTGATGAAAGGGATGAAGCTTGGGAGATAGCTTCAATATTAATTCTATTTACTGACTGAAACCGTAGTCAATATAAGATATGCATAGATCTCCAACTTGCTTGCCAAACGTCATCTCAAAAGTAGGTCTCATCAAGGACAGGTACCGGTTACGGAATCATCAACAGTCAAGGAGAATCCGAGACCTATTCGTTTGCCGTTAGTTTGGCAGACTGCTTCAAAGTGACACAAGGCAGAGTATACTGGTCACTGAATTTCAGCCTAGCGGTTGAGTGATCAACAAGCTGAGCTGGATGTACACAGCAAAAGAATCCGAATAATTTAGTGGTAACGTCTCCAACGTCAGTGCTGAGTGGAACGGCTTCCAGTCTTAGAAGGAGAAATGATTTTGTTCAGGATTGCAGATACGCACCTTGCTGACTGATTGTTATGTACTGGTCGAGTTATTAATAGTCCTGACGCAAGAAGGCAGAAATCAGAAAAACCACCAGGTTCACGATGATACTTGTATTTTTCAAAACAAGGAGAATCAATGTCATACAAGTTTATGAGCGAATGTTCAAAAATGAACGAATCAATAGACAGCCTTAACATGATTGGTTGTAATGTCATGTGACAACAAGGTCAGACATGTTTGTTTAGTTAGTGGACAGACAAAAACATATTATCAATTAGAATGGAATATCGATCCATATATACATAGCAAAATATAACAGACTGTCAAAAACAAACACACATATTATGTGGATACATATCACCTCCCCTTTTGAGAAGATTGATGACTAATAGCGTGTTTTCTTGGGGTTTATCTGAAACCGTTCAGTTTGTTGTCGACGTCTGTTGCTTCGTCTCCTTGTTGATTTTGCGGCTTCTGCTTTGTCTGGAGTTGTCTGAGCTGCGCAATTTTGCTTTTCTGTTTTGTCAGTCGTAGGTAAGTTAAAAGTATCTAAGTGTATATCCAGAGGTAGAGATGACTGTGTACTGGTAGGGATATTTGAGTTTCTTGGGCGCAACTGATTGTAGAGACGGGTCTATAAATCATTACCAACTTTCACGTCGTACAAAACTCGACCACGTCGTGCTTCGATGGAACCTTTATTCCAAGGTTTATGTCCTGCTCGATAGTCACGGACATAGATAGGGTCACGAACATCAAATTTTTTTCATTCTGAAATGAAGCGTCGGCGCGTTTGGGTGTTGGTGGTAACATTGAGTTGTGAATTGTTCTAAGTTTGCGTTCGTAAAGAATTTCTGTCGGTGATTTCTTGTTCTATGTTGACTCATTCGCCGTTGTACGGTACACCATCAAGAATTTTTGGATGATGTCAAATGGTGTCCCCTCTCCGTCTGCTTTGAGTAAAACTCTCTTCAAAATGTCGACAAAACGTTCCGCTTGGCCGTTCGACTGATGATAATACGGCGGTGTGAACATATGCTCGATAGCATTTTGACGACAGAACTGCTGAAACTGATGAGAGGTAAACTGTGAACCATTGTATGTAACTATAGTTTCTGGGAGACCATGATGGGAGAATATGTTAGTGAGAGTTTGAGAGTCTGGGACGTTGTTGGCGAAACCATTGGTGTAACCTCTGGCCACTTAGAAAAAGCGTCTACCACCACTAAATAATATGCACCATCTGTAGGGCCAGTAAAATCAATATGAATTCTGGACCAAGGATGGGCTGCTGGTGGCCACGATTTGCATAAATCAGAAAAGGAGTTGGCTGAATTTTTATCCTTGCTGACTGCGTTGCATACAGAACTAAGTAGGACATCAGCCAGATGTAAACGATCAAACCAATCAAGTCCCAAAAGATTTAAATCACTCTTGGTGACGTAAAGAATTCCTGTGAATTTGATATTGCTGAAGGAAACAGAACATTTTAGTTCACCAATTAGTTTGAGGCGCCCACCACAGGCGCTGACAGCAGTCTGAGAAGTATTTGCGATTGGTGGTCTGCCAATATTATTCCGAAGTTTCTCTGATATAACAGTAATATTAGAGGCGATATTTAGCCAAATTATTGTTATGTACTGGTGGAGTAATTATAAGTCCTGACGCAAGAAGGCGGAAATCAGTCAACAAGCAGAAAACCGAGGTCAAGCAAGAACTCCTGCTAACTGCCTCTAATCATAACCGGCTTTTAAGGGATCATTAAGCATTATATTCGATAGAGAATAATTGGAGCTCAGGTGGATGATTTTGATGTGGTTGTGTTCTCTGAGCTAGCTGGATAGTTAATTTGCGAAGCTTTCATCGCCCTACTAGGTGACATCTTCAACGCATACTTCAATTCGTTGAAGTGAGCTTTTAGATTTCTCCACAAGTTTATTATTCATCTCTCCTGTTCAGTGACCTTGGACGTGATTGGTTGTTTTTGTGTGTTTTCACACCTTTCAGTTACCTACTTGTATTGGAACTGATTGTTTCTTTGACTTGAACTTTGACCCTATGTGTGTGAAGTTTCTTTCTTATCGGTTGATAAATTTTGTCTATCTCGATGTATCTATTGATTGATGATTCACTGGAATGCCAAGCTTCTAAAAATTCCCTAGCATTCTTGTTGTTTCCTCTGTCTAATATTTGAACGTTGGTTGTCCTAGTCGAATTGATTTCCGTGGTTGCCTGTATGCAGTGAGTGATATGAACGAGTGAGTGAATACCTTGTCTTTTGACGGCTACCTTATATTCGTCGATAAGAAGACGAAGGGGACATCCACTTTGGCCAATGTAGTGATTTTCGCAGTTGTTACAATTCATTTTGTGGATGATGTTGGTTTTATCTTCTTTCGCTGTTGAGTCTTTTGGTTGATATATAACCAGCTGAGTAAAGTGACTTTGTTGGTTTGTGTGCGACTTCAATTCCTAAAAGTTTGAAGAGTCTTGTAGTGATTTCTGAGATATCCTTTATATATGGTAGAGCGATTTTCTTTGTGCTTTCCTTGGAGGTTTTTGGTTTGATAGGTTGGCTTGAAGGTATATGTCTTTTGATGAAATTCCTTGGATATTCATTTTTTTGGAAGACGTCCATGAGAAATCTTTCTTCACTTTTCTTTAAGGTGGGAGTGCTGCAATGAGTCCTGGCTGGCGCTATCGTATAGTGTTTGTATGCAATTCATTTTGTGTGTTATTGGATTGTTGCTGTTGTAATTCAGGATTTGGTCTGTGTGAGTTGAGTTTCTAATTCCTCTGTGGTTGTTCGTTTGACTAAGACGTCCAAAAATGGGATTTGGTCCTCGAATTCCTCTTCTCTTGTGAATTTGATGTCATTGAAGACGTTGTTTATTAAGTTGTGAGTTTTATCCAACTCGTTTCTTTTGATTATTACCAATGTGTCGTCTAGGTAGCGTATCCAAATCTTGGGTTTGATCTTTGGTAGGATTATGTTTTCGAGCGTTTGGATCACTGCTTCTGCAATCAAACCTGATATTGACGATCCCATGGGTTTTCCTTGGACTTATTCATATATTTGGCCGCTGAATTGGAAGGAGGTTTCAAGGCATAGGTTTAGGCACTCCATCCAACTTGTGGGTTGCATTTGTGATTGTTGTGGGAGGTGTTCGTCGTTGCTAAGTCATTTCTTCATGGTTTCTTTTGCTAGTTTTTGTCCGATTGAGGTATGTAATGCTGTGACGTCGAAGGATATCATAATTTCTTGTTCATCTACTTGGATGACTCTGATTTTCTCTAGGAATTGTATGGCAGAGTTGATGGAATGATCACGAGATTCCGTTAGGATTCTAGAAACATAAGCTAACCGTCAAAACACATGATATCCACTCCCTCGTTCATATCACTCGCTGCATACAGGCAACCACGGGATTCAATTCGAGTAGGACAACCAACGTTCAAATATTAGACAGAGGAAACAACAAGAATGCTAGGGAATTTTTAGAAGCTTGGCATTCCAGTGAATCATCAATCAATAGATACATCGAGATAGACAAAATTTATCAACCGATAAGAAAGAAACTTCACACACAAAGGGCCAAAGTTCAAGTCAAAGAAACAACCGGTTCCAATACAAGTAGGTAACTGAAAGGTGTGAAAACACAAAAACAACCAATCACGTCCAAGGTCACTGAACAGGAGAGATGAATAATAAACTCGTCGAGAAATCTAAAAGCTCGCTTCAACGAATTGAAGTATGCGTTGAAGATGTCACCTAGTAGGGCGATGAAAGCTTCGCAAATTAACTATCCAGCTAGCTCAGACAACGCAACCACTTCAAAATTCTCTAGCGATTCTAACGTTTTTATAAATTTAATTTACTTCATTTTCTCAGTGAAATCGATGCTCCTAGTCGTCATCTGCATGCATCGATATGAAAGACTTTTGTCTTTTGACAGCTGGTTTCTGTTATTTGACTTGAAGTCGCCATTACAATAATTCGATATTTTCCTTCCCACATTTTCTAATTCTTCCCCAGAATTTACAGTGTCCAGTGTGTCGAATGCCAGTCTATGAAGTGGACTAAAATGGGACTACTGGAGCTTCCCTAACGATATATTGATTGCTATTGATATTTCTCGAGACATAAAATAGAGAATTCTAGAATATTCGACGTAGGATATCAGAGGTGTGTTGTCTCTTTTTCTGTCCTTTTTAAATATGTCCTTGCATAGACAAAAGACAATTTTAAATATATTTTACAAATTTCAAATTCACGACTATCCATTTGTTCATGTATGTATGTATGTTTGAATGTGTGTTAAGAAATGACTGACATACCTTTGATTCTGAGTATATTTCAACATATTTCGATTTGATGCTCACGCGTGTAAACGTTTGTGTTTGTTATTATGCATTGTCATGTACCTGTTACTAACATCAAAATATTTTGATTCATATATGTTCATAATTTCTGCTTGAAAACAAAACGACAGAACATCTTCTTCATAATCCTTATCTTCATGTTTATTCAGTAATTTTCAATTGGTTTAAATCATGTACAACAAAATCAACTTGTTCAATTGTACAATGGTTCATTTGTTTGATTACTTTGTTTTCCTTTCCCTCCAGTATCAAATACCTTCGAATAATAAGTGGGGATAAGTTGAATATTTATGCAAAGTTCTAAAATTTCCTATTTGGCATATATCTCAATAGAGAGAATTAATCGACCTCATTTTTAGTAAAAATGGTCACTGTGAACAGATGAATCGATACTAATGACATGAGGCAATAAAATTAGAGATTAAACTGTGATAAGGTATAAATAATGAGAATCAAATCAATATGTGATATGTGAATGTTGTTAGAACAATAATATACATACAGTCTATGAGAAAAACGGTTAATAAACTACAAAGTCAATTGAAACGTTCAAGTGAGTATCAACAATGTGATTATATCTTTCTGGAGGGATATTCCAAGACATCGTTCCCTTACAAGAGATGTCGGAATGTCTCGATGGACGGATGGATGGATTATACATATAGAAAATGGTTCCACTATGTTGTTTTGGTTCCCTACATGTTTCTTAACATGCTTGATTATGACCAATGTTGAGGAATATTCTAGCCTCTTACGGCCAATGACATTCTGACAAAGTCAATAGGGAAGATTTGGCTTCAAATGTTTCATGGTAAATACTCTAATTCTTTGTAAATACAAGCTGTTCGTATGGAAGGTGAAAAGTCTATCACCTTCAACAGTAAAACTACACATGCTTTGGAAACAGAACTTTTGTAGATAATCGCCAACCAAATGTTGTAGCAAAGTAATTACCAAATCCACTGATTGGTAATGCTGTAGGAAGACAGCGGAAATCATTCAACCGGGATTCAGTCAACATGTTGGTGTGCAGTGGATGAGTAAAAGCCATGTCAAATGCACGAAAGTGCATTCATCATTCAGTAGTGTTTAGTAAATAAGAGAGAGACTGGTTTGAAAAACACATCTCCACTTTTTTCTGTTTGGTACTGTCCCCTTCAGTTGGAATCAAGACCGCTCATAATCTCTCATCTCCTCCTCGCCTACTCTACTAGCTCGCTAGTTTCCCAGATGGTCCAAAGGCTTAGTAAAGAGGGAAGGTTGGCCGAGAGGCTAGCCACCCTACACCACAAAACCAATCAAACAGCTTAAGAAACTTCAACGCAAAACAAATGCATTAAATATACAAAGTATATAAATGACAAACGTATTCTTCGCTGGAAGTGAAGTGGCGTAATGAAACATCAAGCTGATGAAAGCCTTCGGGAAGCTGGTGAGCCGGTGTGTCATTTCCCGATAAGAATGAGAATCGGAACGAGGAATGCAAGTACAATATACGTGATTGGCTTGGAAGGCTGCCCACGAAGCCATAGAAGTGAAACCTATACTAGTATGAAAAGATGAAGACAAAATTTTACATGTTTAGGTCTGAAGTCTCGTTCCTCGATATCACTGTAAAACAACAATATTTACTGCCACAAACTAACAAGACTATATCAGTGAAACTAGTATACTTAGGGATATGCTGTATCAACAAGGACTTCTCGTTAATTTTCTCTGCACACTTAGGCTACTCATAAGTAGTGAAATAATGGTCAATGTTTTTATGTTCACCCTAAGGAATCCATTTAATAGAATTGACGGGAGTTAGACAAGCTGGCTGCCCACTATCTCCAATGATTTTCCTGATTGCAGTAGATTGGATAATGTGAAAGACAGCGGGAGGTGCGGAAACATTTATAAAATGGACTCACACAAAAAACTTGGAGGATATGAACTTCGACGATGTGATATATATGTCTGATATCCCACAAACTGTAAAATATGCAAGTGAAAAGCAACAAGCTGGCAGAAGAGGCATCCACAGAAGAGAGGACTTCAGGTGAACATAAGGAAAACAGGGGTGATGAAGATTCCTGGCCAACAGCAACAGCAACAGACAACAATCAGCAAGCATAAATAGGAGGAACCTGAAAGAAACAATCTCATTTACCTACCGAACTGGGAAGCATCGTTTCAACTACAGGACAACGGAACCGACGAGGATATCAAAGCGAGGATCATCGAGAAAGCAGTCAGTGCTACTTGACGGATCAGAGACTTCAGCCGTCATGAAGATCACTTCGAACTAACTACAGACCTTCATCAACAGCTCTATTCTCTCAATATTCAAGATAAGATGACAGGCCAGAAAATATCAGCGACAGGGAGGGATCTCTGACAATGAGCGAGTCAACCCAGCAGGAACCGATCGTGCAACAAATAAGCAGGAGGAAATGGAGGTGGATTGGCTGGCCATACTCTGAGAAAACAAACAAATGAGTGATATCAATAGACAGCCCGTCGCTCGAGTGGAACCCGACAGAGTGGGAAGCAGCGAGTTGATCGTCAGTGCAAGAGTGGGGTGACATGGAGGAGGTCATGTGAAGAGGAGATGAAAGCACGTGAGCAGACTTGAAACCAAGTGAAAACGCTTGCAGAGAACTGAACCTAAGGGGAGACATGCGGCTAGAGCCCTATATTCCTATAGGAATTAAAGGAAATAATAATAATAATAAAATGATAAGAATTACTTCAAATCATGAGAATGCATTAGTTTTTTCAAACTGGTAACGAGAATGTCATCAACATTTCTCTCCCCTGAAAAGCCTGTACTGGTCAAAGTTTACTGATCTGGTGTGAAATATGATCAGCAAACTAAGTGGTGAACAGCACTTTGATGTTGGATAATATTAACAGTATATCGATTAGAAGTTATGAAGTCAATTTATGTGTTTTGTGTAGTATACATATAGCCAGAAAGGATCTGAGAAACAAATCTCTCTTCCATCCTGTCCCTGAAGTCTGCCTCAGCTGGCTCCTCGATTACCATAACCTGTCATTTTCTCTTCATACGATCTCTCCCATGTCACACTTGGATGATCACATAAAGGATTCCTGTCAATGACTTATCACATGATATAGCTCTACGGTCTTCTCAGAGTATGTCCAACGCAACTCCATATATTTCTGCATACTTGTTGAGCTATAGTTTTTTGATTGGTTGATTTAGTTGGTGGCCGGAGTTCCTTCTCGCTTATCCTTACTGGCCAAAAGCAGTGAATAGATACCACGATGAAATGACCTTGAACCAACCAATCAGATTGCTCAGGATTACAAACGGATGCTCACCATAAGTTTCGTCGCCAATTTCGCCCAAATTTGGTCCTTGGCTTCTGTATGAAATATTGGGTGACAGAGAGGAGTAATATACGCATATATGGAATGGGATAATGGGAGGCGGTAAAAAATAGATATCACCGTAGAATGAACATGAACTAGCCAACCAGGTTTTCCTGGGTGAAAAGTGGTATTCATTGGATAAAAAAGTATATTTATAAGGTACATGTGTAATCAGAATTAAGTTTACAAGGTATATAAATACATGTACATATATATTTCTTGTTTCAAGTATTGATTCACGGAGGATTTAATCATGCGCTGACATCAATTAGAGAACCACTGAGAAACTTCGGAGTACTCGTCTGGGACACTTAATCAGCGCGAACCCACCACGGCTAGAACACAGGACATTCAGAATACGAGGTAAGCCCGTAGAACATTGAGTCACTTCCAGGTACTTCAATGGTTCTCTAACTGATGTCAGCTCATGATGAAATACTCCAGCCAATCAAACATATAAAAAATCCCTAAAAATCCAATACTTGAAAATTGACCTGAAGCTCACTAGCGACTGGCTCTATTCAGACGGTTAACCTGGGGTACTAGTGGTAAGCCATGGCCAATAGGATGCAGCAAGTTGAAAGTGAAGCAGTAACTCAATGAAGAAGACACAGCGAAGTGGTCACGCTTTGTCATGAATTGGCAAAAGTTAAAATTCATGGGCCACTAGATTGTGTTCCAGTGGCCTGATGGTCTAACAGCTAGCTCGCTTTTCAACCAAGGGGCTCTGAACTCGAAACCCTGGGGATGCATACAATTGAAGAGTCCCACACTTAGATGAAAAAGCTGTCCAGTACTCCCAGATATATATATATATATATATACATAATGAGTTGTAAAAGTCGATCATAATTTCCCATAGGAGTGTTTATAGACACACCAAACCAATTTCAACACCATTATAATCCGATTTTTAGATGAGCCAAGAACCCTTGAATGGAATTCATATGAGTTCCATTCAAAGGACCCACTAATTCAGAAGAATGACTGACTTCATGATGAATATAGCCTAATGATAACAGTCGTGAATAACCAGTCTACATGTCGTCTGTATCAGTGATACTGCCTGGTGGGAGGGGTGGTGGGCTAGTCGTTGTATTACTGCTATTAAAACATTGGAACTTCTCTTTAGGATACATTTTAGCAACCTTTTCTTTTCGTACAGTCTCAGCACCAAATCATGCTTTGGTTTTCGCCTACTGTGATTCATATTTCATCTAACAAGTACCCCGTTTCGCTAATATGAACGACTACAATAATCCCTTCAAGTGAACAAATAAGTCGATTCCCGAGAGTGGCGACATCTTTAG